GTAAACTGCTTAGAGAGGGTTGAAAGCCCTATGAAGCGGTATATAAGTCTAACTGCTATTGCTATTGCTATTAGCCACTGAGTCGCTGCGTCCCTTTTAAGGCTGTAGTCATTTATTATTTAGATTTCTTTAAAACACTTCTGATAAACATAAAATCTGGACATTTCTGGGCACAGATGCCTGTGGAGCTAGTATTTTGTTTTGCAGAATAGCAAATTTCTTTTAAATTTTGTTGAAAGTTAAATTGTATTAAAGCATTAAATAGTAGAATGGGGACCTTGAGGAAATGATAGCCACAAGCCGTGCAATTTTGGAATTCACTGGTTATATTTTGTTTAAAGTGTAATTTAAAATATTATAGCGCACTTACAGGAAAGCTAAGTCACCATTCCTACTTAGAATCAGGAAAACAGAGAGAAATCTCTGTGTTTATCTACTCACTGAAGGTAAGTAAGATTTCAGGGGTAAAACTCTTATCACAGAACATGCCAACTCTGGTTAGAATGCTCAGCCAGGCAGGCCCCAGCCAAATTTTATCAGATGTGAAGCCAACATGAAGAGTTAATTGTTTAGTTGTTGTGAGCTGCCCAGAGTTGTTGGGAATTGGATGGCATAGAAAATTTTATAAACCAACCAACCTTGAATGAATCTCTCTCTCTCTTTCAACTCTTTTAGCCTAACCAATATCCAAGCACTGTTGGGAGAAATATTATCTTTATTCAATTTAGACCAACCAGGGATATTCACTGGAAGTTTAAAAATAAATAGTCAAGACAGCAGCCACAACTCCAACATTGAGGCTCTGCCCCTTTTTAAATGCACTAGAAAAGGGAAGTGTCTTCTGAACATTCCCCTAGGGTAGTGTTGGCGAAGCTTTTCGGCACTGAGTGCTGAAATGGGAGTGCATGCGTGGGGCGGAGCAGCGAAAATCGGAAGAGCAGCTCCTCAACGCGCATGTGCGGGAGTGCCGGAAACTGGAAGAGCAGTTCACACGCGCCCCAGGAAACTGAGCTTCTGGTATCCGGCGTGCATGTCTTCCGGTTTCTGGTATGCGTGAATGTGCCAAGACCAGCTAGCCGGCTAACATGCGCGCATCAGAAGCTCAGCTTCCCAGCATGTGCGTAAGTACCAGAGAGCTGCTCTTCCTGTTTCCACCATTCCCAGGCGCATGAGACCAGCTGGCCAGCGTGTGCTGGAACCCGGAAGAGCAATGGACGACGGCTGGCGTGCCCAGAGAGATGGCTCTGCATGCCACTTCCGGCACGCGTGCCATAGGTTCACCATCACGGCCCTAGGGGAATCCCCAAGTTTTCAATCCTGCCTTTCTTCTCAAAATACCTAATGTCTGTCTATTGTTAAAAACACCTAATCAATTTTAAAACAAATGAATAAATGCCTGCTAAAAGAGAGTTGCCTTTACTGTTCTCTTCTAAATGCTATGGGAATTAAGGAGAAACTCAGCTGCAAAATCATCAAGTCCTTCCTTCCTTGCCAGTCACTGGTAATGTGGCACCTAAAGGGCCTTTTCTTGCAGATTTTAAAAGCCAAGCCCAACACAAGAACAGCAGTGTCCCCCCGAGACAATCAGGGCCTAAGCTGTTCGGGCTTTATGATCAGTACTCCACAAGCTACTGATAGCCAGGGAAAGTCTTTCAGCACGTACAATCACCTTAATCAAGAGGAAATCCCTAAGAGCTGGGTAAATTGAAGGCTTACCATTTGGACATTAACTTTCGTGCACCTTATGATACAGATGGGGGGGGGGGATTTAACTTTAGGTAGTCTTAACACGCTCCGGCTGATGCCACCTGTGTTATATTGCTGTAATCCTCAAAAATTGAGGGCAGTTGGTTCCAATTTTTTTTCCCATTTTCTCTTCTGCTTTAATGAATCAGGTCTGAGCCCCAATATGAAGCCGACTTTACTCCACTGGCCCCGAATCCATTTCACTATCAGTGCTACACATCTCTTTGATAGCAACAGCTATCAAATCGTCTGTGATGAAGGGAGCTCCTTCTGAATATGCAGACATATTTCTCCCTCTGTGGCAGAGTATGGGAGGGGATACGCACACAAGTCTTCCGTAGGGTACCATACTGATCTTTACACTTGCCATAAAGATTGCTGTTAATTTGGGTTAGATTTAGTTTTGTTATCACAGGTTAATTTTTTTTTAAAAAAAAACCCCACCAAATTACAAAATATTGGTTTAAAAAATAAAATAAAAAGCAAATTATTTCAAGCAGAAATGCAGGTGAGTTACAGCAATATTCCAATCAAAATTGGGACCTCCACGAATGTCAAAGTTCCATCGCCTAAACCTTTCTAAGAGAAAAATTTCATAATACCTTTGCAAAATAAAACTGCAATTGTATTGGGGGGGGGGGAGCACAGGAAAGGGGTGTGGAAAATGTAGAACTTTGTTTACACCAAGGATAAAAATCAGTTTAAAAGCAGGATACGGAAAATACCAAAGGAAAAAAAATAATATTACCCTAGGTATTTAGCAAATCAACCCCACTGCGCTCAAATTGGATACCCCCCTGCTTTATTAAAGTAACATTAAAATGGTATTAAATCATCCTTTGTAGCCTTCAAAGCAGTGCCAGTTTGCATGGAACGGAGTTCTCTAAACATCTCACTTTGGACTCTAAAGAAATCCAGCCTTTCCCCCCACAAGTTCTCTTGGGGGTAATTAAATGCTTGGCAGCCCTTTCCATTTGGGGGGCAGGAGTTGGAATTTCATCTGAAGAGACCTAGCTAAATGGGTACAGAAGCCTCACACCTATGAACAAGCTTCATCAGGAGAGGGCTGAATAAAACTATTGCCTCCCCCCCCTCCCCGATTCTTCGTTCCTGGTCTCAATGCGTACCATTTGGCTGGGGGACGGGGGGGGGACAGGGGCACAAGAATGTGTTCTCCGATTGCTTCTTGCTCCCTTGACCTCAACTACCCAGTTAAAATGAGCAAAAAACAAAATGGCCGAAGACAGCAGGCATTCTACAGAGATTAGCAAGCAAGGCAGATTAGGGAGCAGTTCAACTCAGTGAAAGCAGCAAGCCCACCCCTGGTCCTTGCTCAGCCCTTAAGAATTTGAAGGCGTGAACAAGCCAATGCAGGAAAAAGAAAAGGGCTTGGTAAGTCTTAACAGCCCTCTCATGAAGGAATCAAATGCTTGATTATACTTTTTTAAAAAAACAAACAAACAAACAAACAATTGCCAATGTAAATCGATGATTTAAACTCTTCCCTGTAGTGGGAGAGACAGACAGTGGAGGGGTGGGGGAAATGTGGAGCTTGTCATGAGCGGACAGGAAAAGGGTGAACATTTTTTCCACAAAACCTGGCCCAGAGTTTGCAGAAGGTAACAAATGCTGAAAATGATATCCGAGCATATAAATCTAATAAACCTAACCTAAACCTAAAGATGTGTCTGGAACAAATACCGTTTTTGGACAGAATTGTCATCATTTCTCCCTGGAGTAAATGGTCACTAATTCAGGTCCCAGGCTGAACTTCAAATCTCTACACTACTGGGTAGCCCAATGTTAAGTCTTATCCCATGCTGTGACTGAGCCTATTGAGGGCTAAGAATGCAACCGTGGCTTCAGCCTGCAGACATCCAAGCAGACCACGTTTTCCACGGCAGCTTCTCACCGTCCTTTCCCCATTCCTGCAGCTTTCTTAAGCATCAAGCCAGCTCTGGAGTTGGAGATTTCCCAATTTAGACATCATATTAGGTTTACACAAGCCACAATATGATTTTGGATCCTGATGGGCTCACCAATTGCAAACAATGGTTGTCAGTTCTGATGCCGCGCTCCATTGTGGCTTAGCGTCATCGTTTGGTGCGAAACAACTGGGAATTATTATTTCTCCAGAATCTTTGGACATATCATTGTCACGGCATTCACCATTCAATGGGAAGAGAGGCAAAGGGAGACTATCTGGTGCTGGAATCACTTCTCCTAACCAACTCTTGATTTTTAGAATGATAGAAATACAAATTCCACCATCCCCCACTCCTATTCCAGATTCGTGAATGAGCTATGCAACTGCCAAATAGTTGGGAAAATTTTTTAAAGCTACGACAGGCCACCTCCAGAGATCCAACGCTGACACAGATTCTTATGCCCTGATCTTGAATTTTCTCAGCATTTAAGGGATTTGAAATATTCAAAATATCTGTGCCTTGGACTGGGATGTCCTTGAGAATAATACTTCCTTACAAACCTAGTAGTTGCAGATGGAAGTTCCCTGCCCTAGCAGTTGGGAAGCTAGCAGAAGAGGAAATATGACATTGTTAACCCAGTGCAAACAACTGAGAAATGTCTCTTTTTTTTTGCCTTTTAAATAAAATATCCACCCAACAGCTCCGCAGGCTTAGCATCTTTCATGTCCTGGCCTCTGTTTGTAGCATGTGGTTTTGTTTAGTGGTCCCTTCCCAAAGGGGAGGCACATCAGGGTAAGTGATGGAAAGCTGTAGCCACACAGAAGGGCTTTTTCTTCCCCCTGGCCCTGCCTCCTCCAGGGCCTCCCCTACCTGATCCTCTGGCTGCTGCCACCGCTGCTGCTGCTACTGGTCCGTAGGCCGCTGCTGGGAAACCTGGCCATGGGGAAAAATAAAGAGCGTAAGGGGAAAGAGGCAACAGAAAGCCGGTATAACAATGGCTGCAACATAAAGAGGTTGGGGCGTGTAGTTTGGGGAGGTGCCTGTTGGTCAATTCATATTTGACTTTTCAGAGAGCTGACTTTGGGGACTCCTTAAGAGTGAAAGCATTTCAGAGGATATACATCTCTGCAAAGGAGGCAGGTTGCTACCAGGGATGGGCTACTAAGGATTTGCTCATCTTCGGGCAAATCCGTAGCTAACGTTATGGCCAGTTTGGAGAACCTCCAAATCCCACCCCCCAGCTGGCCCCGCCCCTCCCAGGAGCCTCTACACAGCCCGTTTTGGATGCGAGGTAAGTACAGGGCCCATGCAGAGGCTCAGGGGGGGGGGACCCACGGGCTTCCTGGAAGTTTCGTAAGGAAAGCTCGAGGAAAGCCTCCGGAGCCTGGGGAAGGTGAACCCCGCCTCCCCGCTGTGGTGCAGTAGGCCAACTAGGCCACGCCCACCATGGCCACGCCCACCCAGCAACCGGGCAGAGAACCCATTGCTGAAATTTTTGAAGCCCACCCCTGGTTGCTACCAAATCTACACTAGCCTGCAACAGAGAAGGGACTTTCAGAATTTCAGTGTTTTGTTTCCTTTTCATTTCTTCTAATAATGGACAAAAACAATAGAGGCCTGATCATTATTTGGCTGCAGAGATGCGAGGCTGATTTGACCTCAATCATATTTTGTCACAGGATGCTGGCAACATTTTGTGAAGTTCAAAAAGGCTGAGCTGGAAGAGACTCCCCAACACCTCCTCCATAGGAGTCTGCCAGTCAACCCCCAGCTTATTGCCTTCTTCCTTTTCCTCATGTTGCAAAATCCCTCCTTCCTTTTCACTTTGCTATTTCTGAAAGTCATCCAGAAGACTAGCAAAGAGGAAAGAGGTGGAGGGGGGACCAGGAAGAAAAAGGCTGGAAGAGACAGATGGGCAATATATATATATATATTTATTAGATTCTGGGGAAAAAAATACTTTTATTTTCCTAATTTTCTTCTGAATGAATTCAGGTGACATAACCTGAGACATGCTTCAAAGAGTTTACTCATCTCAGATTTTGATTACCAGTTTGGGTTGTAAAGACAAGGAAAAGGGGACAGCCAGAGTCGGGGGAATAAACTGTTATTTGTCATGTAAATAACTGCAGGCCAAAGGTGAAAGAATAAAAGAGAAAAGAGAAAAACAGAGAGCCAAAGAACTACAAGTGCTCTAATTCTAGATCTACTCCCATAGCTACATTTATCGCTACCAGAAAAAAATGCACAGAAATCAACAGGCTTTAAAGTATCTCTAAACTACTGAAAAAGATCAATTAAGAGAGACATACTTGCATTTAAATATGGTAATAGGGCTGTTGGGGGAAAAAATTTCTATGTAAATAAGTACAGAACTACTTCTAGCTAACCTGGGATTTTTTTCAATCACCACCCCATAGACAGCAAACCCCATCTTATGAAAATACAGAATTTTAAATGACATTTGCTTCTATAATAGCAGCCACTGAGTTCTGAGTTTGGAAGAACTGGATGGGAAAAAGAAACTGTAATGCAGGATTTAAATTCTGGATTAGGCATATTGTAATCTATATCAGAGGGGCTATACTGACAGGTTCTGGAGGACCGTTAGCAGAAATCCTGAGTAGTTCGGAGAACCAGCAATCTTTTGTTGAGAACAGAGCTGGAAAGTAGGTTAGTAGGGTGCGGAGGGAATGGGGATTTTGCAGTCACCTTCCCCTGCCACGCCCACAAAGCCACACCCACAGAACCAGTAGTAAAATATTTTGAATCCCACATTGATTTATATGGGCGATAACATATACCAATGGCCACAAACGCAGATGGCAACGTAGAGAGGGAAGTTTTACTGTAATATTCATTTTGTTGCCACCTAAGGACCATTTGGAATTCTGCATTCCAGGTGCTAAGATCAGGAGACCCTCCCTCCCCCCCAATTTTCAGCATGTCATCTTTTTTTCCAGAATTTTTTTTTATTTTTTGTTCTCTTACATACCATTTTAAGTGTACATTCACATAATTCCTCTTCACATTTGTACATTTATTATTTCATTTAATAGGTTATAATATACAGTTTGGGTTGTTTTATTTACCATCCCTTCCTCCTTATAACACCACCTTATTTTCCCTTTCTTTTCTCCCTCCCTCCCTTCTCTACTTCCTTTCTTCCTCCTCTCTTTCCCCTTCCTTCCTCCCTTACTTTCTCCTACTCCTACTCTTCCTCTTCCCCTATATACCCGCTCTCCTTCTCTTCCTCTCCCTTCCATCCTCCTCTCCTTACCTCTTTCTTCTTTCCCCTGTCTTCCTTTCATTCTCTCCTCCTTTCTCCCTTTCTTTTCTATTGTGGTAGGTGTCTCTTTCAGATCTCAGTTTATGTTTCCTTGGGATGGTATTTCCGCAAACCCAAATATAATTTGGTATCATTTCTTATTTCCTTACCTTCGCTAATCTATCCTATGTCCCCCCTCTTTATATCTCGCTCTTGTATACACTTATATATTTAATATTTTCATTTCTGTTTTCCCCTTCTTCCCCCTCCCCTTTCCATTTAATAGTGCATCATCTGGGTTCTATATCTTCTCCCTACTTTCTTTTCTAGTTTCCTTTCTCTAGCCAATCATAACATCTTCCCCATGTCTTGAAGTACTCGAATTCCCCTTTTATCCTTTATTTTCATTGTCAACCTATTCATCTCTGCACAATCTAATATCTTTTTTAATTATCTCTTCATCTGTTGGTAGCTTATTTAATTTCCAATTTTGGGCTAATACAATTCTCACTGTTGTAGTTACATGTATAATCAAATAAGTATCCTCTTCCTTGAATTTCTCTGGGATAATACCTAGTAAAAATATCTCTGGTCTAAATTCTATTTCTTGTTGCAACATTTTCTTTAACTCTTATCTTAGTCCAATATTTCCTTGCTTCTGCACATGTCCAGCACATATGATAATAGAAACCTATTGCTTGTTGACACTTCCAACATTTCGCTGATTTGTCTTTAAACATCTTTGCTAATTTTCCCAGTGACGTGCCATCTATAAAACATTTTGTGTAAGTTTTCTTTGTAAGCTGTTGAAATGGTTAATTTATACTTCCTTTCCCATAGTTGTTGCCACTTTTCTAGCTCAATTGTGTGGCCAAAATTCTTTCCCCAAGTTAACATTGTATCTTTAACCACTTCTTCTTCTACCCTAATTCTTAATAGGGAGCTATATAGTTTCTTAATTATTCTTTTTTCCGTTCCCATAAGTATCTTATCCAACTCCGAAGTTCCTAAGTTAAAACCATATTCCCTTTTATCTTTTTCATATCTTGATTGTATTTGCACATGTGAAAACCATTCTATAGCAATCCCTTGTTTTTCTAATTCTTGTTTTTGTTTGAGTTCTCCCCTTTTCTGTTAAGATATCTTTGTATCTAATAATATTCTTCATGCTACTAATATTTGGATGAGTCAATGCTTCCATTGTTGAAAGCCACATTGGTGTTTCTAAATAGTGTTTCCCTTTCACTCTTTCC